AGGGGGAGGGGATTTTCAAACCTTTCAATCTTGAGATCTCGTTCTCCATTTCAGCGACTTTTTCTGCTTCTCTTGCCATCGTCTCCGCAAGTTTTTCTCGCCCTGAAATCATATCAACCATTTCTCCTTCTCCTGGAACTCATCCTCGTCCTCGTCCTCGTCCTGCTCCCCATCCTCCTCCTGCTTCCCTTTCTTCCTCTTCCTCCCTGCCTCCTCCATTTCCTCTCCCTCCTTTTTTCCCTCCCTCCTCTTGCTGCTCACCTTCTTCCACAAGTTTTTCAAGATTTTCGATCTTGGAAGAAGACTCCACTGAGAAGAGAAGAGAAAGCGTGAGGCAAAGCAAGACCAATCAAACAAGCTATCATCATCAATCATCTCAATCAACACAATCATCACCATGACTATCATCGCTTACTTGTATTTTCCTTCAATCTCGTTAATTCTCTCTCGAGTTTCGACTGTTTGTCTGCCGCCTGCAAATGAATAAATCCTCCACAAGAACAAGATCGGACACAAATCATCAAAGAAAGAAATATTGATGTAAGATAACTTTACATGACGATGATGATGATGTATGTGTATGTGAGAGAGAGGGTGGTGTTGTTCAATCATAACACTACAAACTCCCACAAAACAAGCCAGGTATACATCAAAACTCAACAGAACACATCAAAAATCGGACTTGCAACTCGCGTGTCAATCTTCACCTGTCTTCGTAGGTTGCTCAGCTCAATTCGCAAGTTCTCTTCGCTCTTCCTTCATCGTTAGAGTAGGAACCTCCTTCAACATGTACAACCTCTTTAAGATGTACAATCTTCGCCTGTTCTCTCTCAATCGAGTCCATCATCGTTTTGCACTCCTCCTGCAGTCTCACAATAAATCGCTTCCTCCACCATTTCTCCTCCTCCCTTCCCCTTTTTCACACACTCCTTTCCCTCCTCCTTCTCCTCCTGTTCATCCTCCTCCTCACCTCCTTCGACTTCAATTCAGTTCGCAGGCAGTTCATCTGAGCATGCAATTTTGACTCGATTTCCTGCTCATCAAAGTCACTTCTCATCACATTGTCTCTCCTCGACATATTATCTCATTGCGTAGGGTATCATGAGATATCATACCATACCATACCATACCATACCATACCATATGGTATGGTATCGTATAGTATCTGAGCTACTCTAAACAGCAAACTCTCGTAATCTCACTGGGAAGACTAATACACGCAGACAGATTAAGAACAAAGATCGGACCAAAGTCACTAACGCAAAAACTCCTTCCTCTCTCCCACCTGTACGACAGAATGCTCTTGCGACAATCGCAGAACGTTTTCTTTGGCCTCTGTTGATCAAACTAAGTCGACATCGCTGACTGCTGTTGCAACAATTCTCTTCACCGCTCAAGGCAGACTCGTAGGTGGACAATCGATTCTCGCAATCAATCGTTGCCTGGCCGACAGGGTGAGCAAGAAAAGTGAAATGATCGACTCCTCCTCTCTTACCTGATTGATGGCCTCTCGCGCTTCTTCCTTGACCTTGGCGATCTCATGCACAAGTCGGGCGTTCTCCTTGTGCACATTTTGCATCTGAAAAATGGAGAAGTCAAGTGAAACAATCTTCAACAAGCAAGATTGCTCTCTTCTGAGTTCGCTATGTGAGTTGCACCCTTATTGTCATCGCCACCAACACCACCAACACGAACCTGTGTATTGAGTTTCTCAAGCTTCTGCCTGCCGTCTGCAATCTCTTTGGCAAACTTCTCCTCTTCCCCTACCCATATTTCGTGCTGCAAGTTGTACTTCACTTCTATGCTCTTTGCCTGCTCCCTTGCTCGTCCGATCTGCCAGCGACATCAGCAGCGCGGAGCAGCGTGCTCTTCCTTCGCACCTCCAGCTCAGCTCGAGACTTCTCCTCTTCCAGCTCCTCATCTTTCTCTCGCTTATACCGCTCATTCCTGGCAATCAGATCATGTTCTCTTGCTGCAAACTCGGCCTCGCGGTCCTTCAGGAACTGCTGCTGCTGCTGCAGGAGAGCCTGCGTCTTCTCGTGCTCCTTCGTCTCCTGGATCAGCTTGAGCTCGATCGCATTCTTTTCCTGCATGACACGGTGAAGCTTCTCTGAGAGGTCTGAGTGACTTCGCAACAGATCTGGATCATTCATATCCGAATGTTGTTCTTCGCCAAGGTCCTTGTCTCTGAAATCCAACCTCCTTACTTGTGTCCTCCCTCCCTCTCTTGTCCTTCCTCTCCTTCTTGATGTCTTCTCTCTTCCCCAATTCGCACAGGAACTCACTTCAGCATGAATATCGGGAAAACTCCAGTAGAAGCGTTTCCTGCTCCATAGCAACGCGTTATTGACAGTGACAGGAGTACTGCCATCCTATACAATCGCGCCTGCACAATCCCTTTCCCGCAGCAACCTCCCTCCCTCCCTCCCTCCCTCTCCCCCTCCCTCCCTCCCTCCCTCCCTTCCACCCCTGGTCTTCACCCCACCCCTCAATTCACATCCTGAACACCGGTCTGGTCTCCAATGACAACAACTAGCTGTGGTGCCCGGCCTTGCCTTTCAGCGACGCTCAATCATCGGACTCCCGAGTCCGAGACCGTTTCGACAGCCTCATCGGATCCGGGGCCCGGCGGATCGGACGGTACTACAGTTCCGGACACGGACTGCCGGAGTCCGGGACGCCCGGCGCCGGCCGGGCCGGGCCCCCGGGGGACGGCGCCGCCCCGCCGGGGCCCCCCGCCCGAGCCTTGTCAATCCGAACCGTCACTGGCAGTGACTGTCCGATCACGGCTGAGTGTGACTTAAGTCACGTAGTAATGCCGGTACTAGTATAATCATAACGGAGTGTAACTGTCACTAACCGTCCGATCACAGGCCCCTTCTCCCCGCCTGCTGGCTTGTGGTGACGCAGTTGAGACTCGCCATGACTCAACCCCCCCCCCTCCCCCTAGGCTTCCTAGGACCCCGATAGTGTCCCCTATGGACCCGTTTTGTGTCACTAGACTCATCTTTTCTTCCTTCCCCCGTCTGAACCCTCCCCTTAGCCGGGCGCAGGGGTCCTTTCACCCACCCCACCCCTTCATAGCTGAGCCAAACGTACGATCCTGACTGGGACTTCCTGTACCCCCTACCCCCCTTGATTTCTCCCTCACCCCTCCTTTCAAAATGTCAGAGGTGAGGAACTTTCCGTGTCAACCTTGTTGTTCCACTCCACCCCCTTTATTCAGGGACATGTGAGGGGTGGAGGGGTAGGAATGACTTCTTTCGTCTTGCTTGGTTCCAACCGCGGTCCTGCTCCTGCTCCTGCTCCTGCTCCTGCTCCTGCTCCTGCTCCTGCTCCTGCTCCTGCTCCTGCTCCTGCTCCTGCTCCTGCTCCTGATCCTGCTCCTGCTCTTTGCAAGTTGTTTGTGTACCTCCATCTTCTTCGTTGGCTTCTTCTATCCGCCATGACAGCAACAGCGATCAACATCCATCAGGCATCCCCTGACAGCCAGTATTTCTCTATTGTTGGAGGTCAGTTTGGGCAGCTCAGCATGGCTACAGTCTACACTGAGAGCAACGAAGACAAGGAGCCCCAACCAATGAGCTGCATGACCTTCTTGTGCAAGTTCTACTCGCCCAAGAACATTTACAACAAGTTCCGCGAGCATATCGAGAAGAGTGACGAGTACGCTCCTTTCTTTGCTCAGCCGCAGGACTGCGATGGAGCTTACTCGAGGAGAGAGCGCTTCCTCGTCTTTGTCAACTCCACGGTCGTGGTCTTCGCAGTCTCGGCCTTCATCGTGTCTATGGAGCAGAGACAGCAAACTTTGCCGCCGGGCTTCTCCTACTTGATGTCAGCGTTGCTGAGTCAGATCTTTCAGTTCATAATGTTCAACCCCATCATCAAGAAGCTGCTCGAGCTCAAGATGGACCGAAAGGGAGCATGCGGAATCTGTCTCAAGGCCTCCATCCTACTCGCTATCCTCGTCTTCTACTCTCTCTCCATCGCCCTCGGCGTTCTCTTCATCGTGTCGTCACTTCACTGCAACGCCTATGACTTCGCCAACCCGGCTGCTGCCTCTCCTGCCCTGCTCGCCCCCAGCAGCTCCTCCAACTCCAGCTCTGCGCCCTCGAGAATCGTCTATGTCTGCGCTTCAAAGAACTTCACCAACGCGGGGGACTACTGCAGGCAGCTCGGGGGGCGACTACCTACCCTGGAGGAAGAGAAGGAGAAGGAGGAGGAGGAGGTGTTTGCGTACCTCAAGGACCAGAAGTATAAGACTAGCACATTCGGCAACACCTGCTGGACGGGCAAGAAGACTGTGTTGGATAAACCTGACCCCGGGTTCGGATGCGTGACCGCAAACTACTTTCGCAACCCGCTGGTGACCACGGTGGGCTTGAACGAGGACGAGATGTGCAGCATCGTCTATCCCTTCGTGTGCCAGGTGACGGGGCTCAGCAAGGAGAGCGAGGAGGTGCTGGGCTCCTGCTCCTGCGTCTTCAACACCAAGGAGGTCATCGTCTCGCTGATCCTGACGTACCTGGCCGGCTTCATCGGAGGCAACAAGCTCGGCTATCTCAGGACGATGATATTCGCCCCCTTGGTCTTCCTCGTGCAGCAGCAGAAGAGGAAGAGGTCGATCTTCGACCCAATGCGCTGCTTGCTCAACAACCCTATCTTCTGCTCCATCCGCCTCGCCTGCGTCGCCGACTGGGGGCGGGCGGACGCTTCAGGCATGCCAGCAGTGAGCGGGAGCGAGGAGTGGCAAGGTTTCTTCTTCTCCCCCTTCTTCTGCTACGACGAGCCGACCAACCTGTGCTTCTGCTCCTCGGCTGACAGGGAGGAGAAGGAGAAGGTCAAGGAGGTCGAGCCTTGAAGGATGGGCGGCCATCGAGAGGAGAGGAGAGGAGAGGAGAGGAGAGGAGAGGAGAGGAGAGGAGAGGAGAGGAGAGGAGAGGAGAGGAGAGGAGAGGAGAGGAGAGGAATGGTCCTCATAGAGTTGAAGTTTATTACAACGATCGTTCATCGTCACATCGCCATCATCATCATCACTTGATCATCCTACTCGTATTCATCATCATGAATGATGAGCAAGAATATCCATCACTTCAGTGGAGGAATCAATAAACTGCACATGCTCACTACTCTGCACCTCCTCATTCTTTTCCTTTCTTTACTCCACCCTTCCTCCTACACCCTCAGTCATTGTCCCCTTCCTTTACTTGAGCCCAAAGCTTGCGATAGCTTCCTTCGCTACTCCCGCGATCGAGGCATCATCAGCCTTGGGGATGTAGTGGTACCTGCAAAACGATCACTCCTTCCTGTCCTCCTCCTCCCTTGCAATGAACATCTTCCTCTCCTACAACTTCTGCTCTCCTGTTCCCTCCCTTCGCTCTCACCTTCCCCCCGCAGCCTCTGCGAGCTCCTTGGCGGATCCCGTGCTGACAAACTTGTTCTCCGTGTCCAGCACAACCTGCTGAGGGTCAGCTGGGAAGCAGCTGGAGGAGAAGGCGCACGAGGTTGAAGTTGGAGAGCCCGCGCATCTGACGGGCAGTGGCGATGAGCTCCTCCTTGAGCGCCTTCTGCTCACACAGGTCAAGACCAGAGGAGAGGAGACGAACGAGGAAGTGGAGGAGACTGGGGAGCAGGCGATCAGAGGAGAGCAACGACGAGCAAGAGGAGGTATGTGGCAAGGTCGTCGGCCTACCTTGTCCTTCTGCATCTCGGGCGTCAAGACTTCTCCATCCTCACTGACTGCGAGCGGGACGTTGGCACGTCCGTCAGTGATGGCGACGACGACAACCTTGCCGACATCCCCAGACTTCTGCGCGTTGATGCCCGTTCTCATGGCAACAGAGAGCGCGTGCGCTAGAGGGCTCCCTCCTCCGCAGGGAAGAGTCTCGAGGCGCTTCTTGGCCATGGCGATGGAGCGGGTGGGAGGGAGGAGAACGTCTGCCTTGTCGCCCTGGTGGAGCGTGAGGAGAAGCGGAGAGAGTTCTAGGAGGATGGAGAGCGAGAGAGTGGAGATGGCCAAGGTGAGAGAGAGAGGGAGAGGGGCAGGGAGGGAAGGATGGGGCAGGGTGGAACCTGGAAGGGAATCAGGCAGATCTTGTCTCTGCTCTGGTATGCTTCAGACAGGAGGGACATGCATGCTCCCTTGGCCGCGTTCATGCGGTTGAGCGCCATGCTGCCTGACGCATCCACGGCAAAGATGACAAGAGCGCCAGCCTTCCTAACCATCTTCTTGATGCGAACATCCGAGTTCTCGATGTAAACCCTGATGGCCCAGTTAGCTCCTCCTCCACCTCCCTCGTCTTCCTCCACTCCTCCCTCCTCCTCACCTCCTCAGCCCCTTTTTGCCCCCAGCAGCCTGTGCGTCCTCAGCTCTTCTCCTCCTCGACGCCTGGTAGGGGGCAGACGCTCTCATCGTCGCGTCAACCGCCAGCCTCGTCACGCGGCCCCGAGGAAGCATCGCCTTGATGTACCGACCTCGCTCCTGCACCCAAGTCAGTTGTCCTCCTCCTTCCTGCCTCTCTCTCTCCCTTCAAACCTGGCTGAAAATCAATCCTCGTCCTCCTGATGACCCGCTCTTCTGCTTCGTCATGAAGTTGAGAAGCTCTGCATCTACAACCGTGTCCTCCGCCTCGAACATGAACTCCTGTGTGAGTGTCAGGGGAGGAGGGAGAGGAGGAGGGGAGGGAGGAGGAGGCACCTGTGGGATCTCGGGTTCGGGCTCAGCTTGCTCCTCTTCTTCATTCTCGTTGTCAGGCTGCAGGGGTGTTAATGACAGATCAAGGCAAGGAATTGGGGAGAGACAGTGATGGTGATGGTGGCGGAGGAGGAGGAGGAGGAGGAGGAGAAAGCAGGAGGGGGTGAAGGGGCACAGGAGAGCAAAAGGAGTTGGGGACATTTTTGTGTCGCGCGCGGCGGGAGGCTAACCTGGTCAGTGTCCTCCTCATCAACATCATCTTCGGTCTCCTCGCGGCTCTGAGCATCTTCAAGTCAGAAGACGGCGGCAGGAAGAGGGCAAGAGACGGGA